CAGGTGGTTGTGAGAGCAGTTCAGGTGCAGCAGCGTGTAGACGTCCCTCAGTCCTCTGGTGCTGATCAGCTGGTTGTGATCCAATGATAACCGCTGCAGTCTCTTCATCGACTCCAGACCAGCTGGGGAAGACATTTATCGGCTTCAGATTGAGAAACAGCACATGGTAAGTCTGCATATAAGCAGTAAAAAAAGACCTTTAAAGGTCTCCTATCATGCTATTTTCAGGCAATAGCATAGGTAGCATCAGATATATAAAAATATATAAAAAACATGTCTATGAAGTGTTTTGCTCAAAATACCAAACAGATGCCTCATATCCCTCTATTTCACTTCCTGATTCAAAAACGCTGATTTGGGGTATAAAGCTTTAAAAAAATAGATTAAAAAAAGAGGAGGGGCTGAGCTCATGCGGGACCCGGCAGCTACTGTCTAAACTAAATACTGCCGTGATGAAACGCCATATCATGGATTATCAAGGATTATCTCTGAAACAGTATGGAGCTCAAAGGCTTTCTCTCTTGCCGGTTATACCACAAGGTGAGTTCCTTTTTATTTCCTGCTTCTTCAAGCTCTCCAGTATAGGTTGAATGTTAGCGATGCTAATGTAAACACCGACCAGATTATGTCCAAAACAGTCGGGCATTGTTTCTGATAGCAACTTTCTGATAGGGCCTTGGGTGTAAAGCCAGCCTACATTTCAGATATTACGCAAATCTGGATCAGCTCCGTTGTAGCCCCGTTTTTAGAGATTTGGGTACGGAGGAAAAGAGAGAGGGTTATATTTGCTGACGCTGCGTGAGTTCCCTGACACACCGGGGACACATATTTATGTATAAAAGACATCAAAAAGTGCATTTTGCATGATAGGTCCCCTTTCAAAATGAATTCAAAGACCCTCCTATAGGATTCGGTTTTAACAATAGTCCTCTGTTACAGTAGCTGAATATACAATTTAATGTGTTTAACCTCTTGTCTGGGCAATATATATTTATGGCTAAAGCCCCGGGGCTCAAATTGACTTCAGTAAATAAATCATTTTCAATGCACATTGCAGTAGAGTTAATGAGTCCAGGCTTAAAGGAGAAGAGAGATGCTGCCCTCTGGTGGAGTATTGCAGACTTGAGTTAGACCTCAGATGTGACACAATTTATATTACTTGATATACAACTTCATGTCAAAGTAAATGATTGATTGGGGATAAAACAAGTTCTCACCAATGCGGGTGATGGAGTTGTTTGAGAGGTCGAGGACGTCCACATTCTCCGCCCCAGTCAAACCATGGATGGACGTCAGCTTGTTGTGGCCGAGTCGAAGAACTCGTAAACTCGTCATATTTTCACAGTCGACAAATGAGATGTCATTTTCCTGTGAAATGTTATGACACAACAAAATGTGGATTTATTGCTTTTTATTTTCAGAAAGATAATTATATCTAAATCCAGATCTGCACATAAGAGTGAACATAATGTCATATATGGAGGAGTGATATATATATATATATTTGTATACACATGCAAACATATTTATTTGACTTCAACCGATATATTCCTGCACTTTAACTCTATCTGCATATTGAAGTATGAATGCTTGTTGTTTGTATGTTGTCTTCTCCTGAATGTTGTACGTCTCTTGCTTTGTTTTTTGATGGCACCTTAAAAAAGGAGCAGCTCTACTCATCTCATTGTATCTGTATAATGACAATAAAGGATTCCATTCTATTCTATATCCACCTGCACATCGATGTAGCAGAGCTGTGTGAGCTGGTTGAGGCCCTCCAGAGATTTGAGGCCGCAGCGTCTGAGGGTGAGGGACTGGAGTCGAGTGCACTGACTGAGAGAGGACACGCTGCAGCCGGGTAAATCCTCCAGAGTCACTGTGGTCACCTGAAGAGAGGAGGGGATGCTTCAGGGCTCAGAGGTTCACTGTTGGATACGTATATCGGCAACTGTTTGGATTATTCCTTAGAGTTATTTTCAAGTCAAAATGGCAGAAATAGTTTTTTCAGCCTCTCACATATGGGGATTTTCTGCATTATCTGCAAGTATCTTTGGGTTTATGAATAATCAAAACAGGACGAACAATTATTTTATATTTTATACTACAAAAGATTGAACAATTA